GCCTCCTTCCCATCTTGGCAATACGCGCAGCATTGACCTCATCCTTGGAAAAGTCTATTCTGAAGTCTTCTAACTAAAAGCACTTTTTGGGACAACTGGCTCGCAACTTAGTGAGAAGCAGAGGCATCCAATTTGGCATCAGGACCTTAACATGCACCGACTCTCGCAAGTGAGCCATGACCGACATGAACTCTCCAAGAAGGACATGGGAGTTTGATGAGCAACCTCCCGTAGCTTTGGGCTTCGTGTCCCTCGATTCGTCCCAAATCCACCGTTGTCTTTATAAACTATTCCATACTATTCCTCAAGTGTCGAAGTCATGTGGCCCACACTAACAGCATCAGCACCTTCTGTTTTTGTCTTCTCGAACTGCCTGGCATGAAGATAGCGAGATTGCGGTTTGGCATGCAGCATGCGCAGGAATCTAACCTGCTGTTATAGTGTCTCACAAGCTTTGTCAACACGTCACGGCACGGCACTTGCAGCCTCGTTGGCATCGTTGCTCCACCCTGACCCAAAAGCCACCATCAAATGCATTCAGCTGAGAAAATGATTGAATGCATAAGTATGCATAAGTTTACTTGCAAAAAGTCAAAGGGTGTACCTCGACCGTCCGGAGCGGCTGTGGCACAAGCCTTCAGTGATTTCCTCGGCTTGTCACCCTTGTCCTTCTCTCCAGCTCCGACAGACACAATGGACCTGAAGCCACCTGACAAAACAGCAAGGCAAGACTTGGACAAATCGCATCCCTTGCCAGGATCCTTTTTGCCCAAAGCAGAAGCAGCAGAATGCGACCCTGTCGTTCGACGCAAACCAGTGAGATGTGGGGAAGGGTTTTTGGCAATCTCCTCAATACGCACGCTAAGAGGTTCACTGTCTTTGTCATGTTGGATTGCTGCACCGTGCCTTGGCAGCTGAAACATTGTAACAACATCACTCTTCGCTGGCCCATCTGAGTCGTAGACACCAGCAAATAGTCCAGCCGTGTCTGCTGCGTGACCACCTTGAACAGTCTGCTTTTGTCCGGACATGGATACGGCTAGAAAGCACAGGCTGCCTGGTCGACAATGCTTCCAACCTCGCCATATCCGCATAAGCTAGCAAGAAAGTCTCATCAAGCAAGTGTCTGGGAGGTTGTGCCTCAAGTTGGAGCCTCTTCAACTTCTCCAGGGCGAAGTTCGCCTTGATAATCAGTCTTGCTGTGGAATCTATCAGTCTTCGAAGTGGAAAAGCTGTAGCTGCTTCACTGCTTCGGCGATTGAAGCGAAAATCCTGTCGCCTGGGCTTCAGCGTGCTTATGTGCAGACCGGAGCCCAGCAATCTTCAGCATGCCTAGGCAGCTAAGCAGTTGCTTGTTGTCTGCATCTCTCACTTTGATTGAGGAGCGGTTTGCAAAGTGCATACTGAGAGATTTCAGAGCATCTGCGTGTACGCGTCCCTCTCTCTCTCTCTCTCAAACTTCCAACACAAACAAGATACAGCCTGCAGTTTTCACGAAAGAAAACAAAGTTCCTCACTCTGCTGCTGACTATCCTGCAAGCGTTTCACCTTCTCCTCAAGGTCCTCATGGCCCACAGTGGTCCAAAACCAGAAAACGACCATCAATCTCCCGATGGCCCACAGCTCCTGGACGTCTTTGGACCCAGAACCTTCAAGCCTCAGCTCTGCGCATGAAATCGGCATTGAATCGAACATGAGAGATTCAGAGAGAAAGATAAACAGAGACAATTAAAAAGAAAAATGAGAGAACTGATGAGACCAGCACATCTCAGCTGCTTTGTGATGGTCCATCTTCGAGAGCATCGCTGCGCTCAGTTTCTGGTCAAAGTCGCTCCTTACGGACCTTTGTCAGTCCAATTTATGGTCATTTGCAAGTGTTTCTCATGTTGATCTCCATACGCAGGCTCTTTGTTTGGGCGCACCTCATCTCAGAGTTCACAACGCTAAGGATAACGTCCACCTGCATCAATTGGCACGGGGCAAATGAGTACTTGTGACTTTGTCAACCGAGCATTGTCCGAACCAAAACCAATCAAAAGATCTGAAACTGAGGCTAACCAGAAAATTCATGTCAGTAATTAGCACGTTGCTTTTCTCGTGCTGCTTGTCTCCACCTCACTGTCCTGTCCACACGGAAAACCAGCGACGTGGCGATGTGGCGACATCGACACGGGAAGGTCTTGGATTTCATCACAAGAACTGCCCAAGCTTTCAGCTTGGGAATTCGAGACCTTCGCGTGGTTCGTGTGACGAGTGAAGCTCAATCAAGGTCTTGAAGGGAACCCAACTTTCAGGTTCTCGGCAAAATGTCTACTCCGTGTGCCCGTCACTGGAAGCGTTTGCTTCAACTCATCTTTTCCTTAGGTCTACCCAAACTCTCCAAGTCTGCTTTTTCCCTGTGGCCAGAACCTTGTCCTTCTCCTCCATGTCAAAGACCTCTGCACTTAGCATTAAAATAACAACTTGAGGACAGACTCGGGTGGACGAAGGGTAGCCACAAAATGGAAACGTGAGTTTTGGGGAGAGGTTCGGTCAGAGGTATATAAATGATTTCAAAATGACGTCGGAACCACTGAAGCGACGCGGCAGGGAAAGTTTGAGGAACATCTTGAGGAAAGGAGGCGTTCTGCAATACACAAGGCAAAGACGAAATATGCTCCACAGGGAGAGCTATTAGGTAAAAGGTCGAAGGCATGGCGGGTAAAGACAGGGGTTTGGACCGTTTGGAATGATGAATCCAATAGTGAGTGGCTTCATTGGTTAAGTAAATGGGACAAACGCAAGGGTTCCACAGGATTTGAAAACACGGCGGGAGGGAGTAAAAAAAAAGGTAAGAAAATAGCATTATTAAATTAGGAAAGTTGCCCCTCCAGTCAATGAATTGCTACAGGAAGAACTGTTGTGAAATGCTGAAATGCTGGGTATCACCCCTTCGGTGCTCCTCCCAGCTCAGCTGCTCACGCGTTTCCCAAGCATAATGCCCATCACAACCGCATCGTGTTCTACCTTTCCGGGCAGAAGCAACAGAATATGACCATGATCCTATTTCTCTTCCAGAACGCACCACAACAGCAGCCCAAATTCTTGTAACTGTCCAAATGAAGCCTGGCCTGGCCTCATCAACCTGCTGCTTGAGGAATGTCAAGTTCTCATCCATGCCATCCACACGCCTGCTACTTCTGGACCCCAAATCTTGCTCGACAAGCCGGGTGGTCTTTTCCCCAAACACTGTGGTCTCGCCAACGATTCGTACGGTAGGTTTTAAGGCTGGGATTGATCGAGGGTGCTCACATTCGTTGGCGACAATTCGCTGCCAGCTACATTCACGCCTATTGAAATCTTCGAGGTGCATTTCGACTGCACAAACTCCCACAAACTGGTGGGAGCAAGCGGGGGCTTTCCTCGACTGTGCTCTGGTTGTGTTGCCGTGCACATTTTCTGACTTGTTGGTAACTTTTCATGGCAGACACGTGCAGGCGCAAGGGAATCCTCGTATTTTGGTCGTCTGAAGTCGGCTTTTCGTGGCACGTCCCACGTGCAAAGAGATCGGATCGGCTGTACTGCGTCGTGCAGATTTGGTTTCGTGGAAGGCACCGGAATCGTGAACCTTGGACACGTGGCTTGGTTTTCAGAGTCATTTGTGAACCGTCAAGTGCAGACTTCCTGTCAGGCGCAGCTCGTTGTGAACCTCGAAGTGTCGATTTTTGTGGCACATGCAGCAATGCAGCACTTTGTCAACCTCGAAGTGCAAACATGCGCTCAGCGCTCCCATATGTTTTGTGTTCTGTCATTGTGTGTTCTCACATGTATGCCCTCACCTGTTTGCTTTCATGTGTGCTTTCATGTGTGTGTGCGCTCCAGAGTTCGTTTGTTCACCCTTGTCTTGTTTCTACTGAATACTGTTTGGGGGTTCTTGCTGGGATCATTGTCAAGACGCCTCATATCCTTTGCCATGAGTTGCATCAATATGGCATTGAAGTCGCTGTCCTCAGACCTTGGACAGCAAGGCAAGTGCACGTGGCACGACGTGGCACGACGTGGCACGAGGCGCCCGGGCTGACACACTCCGTCAACGGGGTTTGGTGTTTGGAAAGGCCCCAACGCACCGTCAGGAACAGCATCTGCCAGGCACGCCCTGCAGGTGCGAAGAACATCGACTTTCACCGGTTGGACCTCCTCAGCTGATTTGCCATATAAGCTAGCTCTGCAACAAGCTGATGAATCATGATGAATCCAAGAAGGTCAGTCTGTGGGCCCGACTCCAACTTTTGCAGTTCGATGGTCCACATCACCAGCTGAGTGAACAACTGAAACCGCCTCCTGAGTCGGAGAAAGAGTGCAGCAAGGAGTGCAAACACATGAGACAAGGGTCTAGTGGAACGCTCCACAGGTAGCCAATGGTTTCTCTTGCCCTTCCAGATACCACCAGAGCAGATTTTCACTGCTCAAACAAACGAATCGGGACCCAGGCGAAACCAATCCTTGCAGCTCGTCCATGCGCTGAAATACCTTGGGCAGTTCTGAGAATACACACTATTGTAGGCACAGAGTGATGGCAGGAATCTTTAGAGCCCAGCGCTGTCAGAAAGGCTTGGAAACGCCTGTTCAGGCACGTTGCAGAAATTTGCATGCACGCATTCATGTGAGCGATGGACATCCAGTTCAGTCCTTAAGAATCTTCTCACAAAGATCCTTTGGTCTGAACTCCTCTGTCAAAGTCTGATTGGTTGGCTAGCTGCTGGCCTATACTAACAGAAATCAGTTGCAGCTTTCCAAGCGACACTGCTGTGGGCCATGAAAAAAGAAAAGATATCACTACCATCAGAGCTCCTCCCATTTTTCTGCTGGTGCTTCAAGGCCACGAAAGAGCACAAAGGTTGGAGTGCCTCATCCCGAAGGCTCAGGATAGGTCCCAAACACCATGACGTTCCAACCGGATAGGCGGCTTCATAAGGTACCAGCCACGGGCTACAGGACAATCATCAGGGAAATCATTCTTTTCAATGTTTATCCTTGGCAATTTCCGCCCACCAAATACCGAATGAATGGCATGCAAAGCCACCTGACTGAGGTGAAAACCTCTTAATGACAAATGGTGCCTGGTGGCTGTCAACTTACATATTTCTGTACTGTTTTTGGAAGCAAAGAACAGAAGAAACGAAGCGAGAACCTTGTGCTCGTGCAGCAACTCTCCCTCGGCCAGAGCAGTTCATTTGCGTTGAGAAAAGTCCTAACCCACAATCTCAGACAGCGGCCAGGGAGTTGACGAAGGGTCTCATCAGAAAGCACAAAAAGCAAGTGTCCTGTTTTCTCAGCAGCAATTTCTGTGGCCTTGTGAGGCTTACAAGAAGCTACTGGGGTGGAGGCCATTGCTACTAGTAACAAGAAGCTTGACGATTTGAGAATCGTCTCCTCAAACATCTGCAGCAGCACCATTGGCTTGCGAGGTCCAGATGCTTCCAGCACATCCTCTTTTGTAACATGCCAGGTCTGAGGAGTAAATGAATGCACGTCCTGCGTATCCCCTCTCTCCTTGTGGAATGATGAGTTTGAAACCATTGGTACCTTTTTGGGCACCTGCAGAGCGCAGTTTGAGTAACAAACTGCAAGAAATCTGCGACTGTAGAACAATTACAAGGTGCCTTTATTTTCGACAGGTCCTGGGAGACTGGCTTGTAGAAGTCCACAATCTGTCACAAACCGGAATCCAATCCATTGTTTCACCAAACTCCATGATGAGCCTCCTCCTTTGGGATCTTGTCGCCAATTAGCAAAACTGACCTCAATCTTGTCTGGCGGAGTCTGCAAGTGCCTCGTGATTTTTTGCCAGACCAGCCAGCCACTGTCGTAAGGTCGCGGCTTTCTTTGTCCTTTGTACATGACCTGATCTGCTGTCGGATGTGTCAACACCCCCGAGGCGGAGATCCCAAGGCTTGCACCACTCGAAGAGGTTTGTCCTCTCTCTCTTCACCACCAGGCAGAGCAGGATCACCTGGATGCATCAGCGAGTGTGGCTAGTATGGCATATCCATATTCTTGGGGGTCCCGGCCATCTTTTCGAACGTTCTGGTAGTACCTCAATCGGCACATCAACACCGGACCTATTGGCCACCGTTGATTTCTCGCTCTTTTCAACACGATGAAGTGTTCCACTCACCAAAACCGGCCCAAAGGAAGGGCACGTCACTTTCTTCAAAACCGGCTCTTGCACCAGAGAGCTGATCACACGGTGAAAATCCTCACCTCGACTCACGAAATGACGAGATGAGTATGAGCTTTTACACAAAACACCTGGGTTAGATGGGTGGCATGGGTTAGCCATGAAATGCCATGGCTGGAAGCTCAGACGGCCACTCCGTTCATTCAGGTCCTCGGCCTGCCAACGGCACCGCATCGTTCGGAATGAAAATGAATCTGGAACGTATGTGGGTAGTGTTGGGGTGAAACCTGGGCATACAAGGTGAAACACCTTCCGGCACACCACCTCCTCCTTGAAGACAATGAAAGCGCAGAAAGAGACAGGGAAGTTGAGCGTCACAAAGGACACATGAGGTGACATCATTCGATGAAGAAGCATTCGGTGACCAACAGGGTTAGTTACCAAAAATACCATGTCGGGTCGGTGCGTGTTGAAAACTTACCAATCTGTAACCTTCTGCTTTGCCGGGATCATACTGTTCAATACATCCCAACATACCAAAGGCATATTTGAGGGTTTCTTGAAGCCAAGAATGTCGAGACTTTCCGGGCCTTCTGCATTCAATATGGGCAATGAAGGAGTTATATGCCTCATAGGATCTGAGGGTGAGAATCTTAAAATATTACCAAGTAGTTTAACCTTACATGTGTTTCAAGTGTGGGAGAAGAGTTCCGTGCAAGATATGTATCCCGCAGTGTATCAAGAACTCAAGAACACTTTGATTAGTTGCTGAATGATCAATGAAAGTTACTGAATGATTAATGAATGTGGGAGGAACTGTAAGTTAAAATGCAACGGATACCCTTGAATTGAAAAGCATTGAGCTTGGAGATCTTGCGCCATGAGCTGATATGAGCTATACACTTTCAAGTCCGTATACGATCTTGCTTTGTAGAATAGCATTGAAGACCCGTGGTGTCCAGAAATACTCTGGAGTTGGCTTTATCCGAAAAGAGCTTGAGTTGATGATTGCATGTCTTAAATGTCTTAATGGCAACCGCAATGCGGGTATTGATTCCGCGAGGATTGTCAACTTGATCAGATAAAATGGTACCCAGCTATGTAGCTCCATGTCGCCGGGGCACAGGCTACCATCTATATATGTGGATTGCTTCGAGGTTGACACATTTGTCGGAAATAAGCTGCATGTTGTAATAAGTTGACTCATGTTGAATCGCATGGAGTAATTTGTTAATTGTGTGTGTGTAATGCGAAACAGTGGCAACAGAATTCAGCAACCAACAGCAGGTGCCTTCTCGAAGTAGAAGACAAACAAATTGTCGTGGTTGTTAAAAACCTGCGGGCAGTTTTCAGGGAAGCACACTGCCCTGTGCGTTTGCATTGATTGAACCTGCCTCATCTGATATTGGCTTGATGTCAATATTGTATCTGTCTCCTGGTGGACACACCTGACAGAGCAAAGCGTGAAGTATCATTAAAGGTCCAAACGAGAGACATCTGAGAGCACAGCCAAGTACAAGCCACCAACCCCTGCAGCAGCTGCTCCAGCCACCTGGGTACCGGTGAAAGCGCCGGAACGGTGGCAACTGCATCTCTGGAAACTCGAGGTGATCAAGGCAAGGCTGGGGCTCTGACAAGAACTGTTTTGGCGGTAGGTGAGATGAGGCTCACACCGCTGCCAGGGTCCTGAGTTTGAGCCATCAGGGGTTCATCAGTGGTCCAGTGATCCTTTCTCTTGATCGACCTGCCCAGCTGCACTTGTTTACCATCCACATTGGACTTGAATATGTGTAGCTCGCTATCAAAACTAATCTGGATCAAAGATTGCTGCTTTGGAAAGCAATTGTTGCTTTTGCCTTTTTGGTATTGGCCAGGTTCTGGCCTGCAACAACTCGAGGTCCTAATTGAGCAAACGGTCCATTCATATTCACCAACTGACTTTGAAACAATATGTTTTTGAAAAACCTAGGGTACAAAACCACAGCATGTCGAATATGGCTGCAGAAAGGCACGCTTGAAGATCAAACACAAGACACTGCTATACACTGCTTGCAAAGGAAGCTGAAGGAAAACACCCAAACTCTGACGGAGTAACACGCTCCCAGTCCAGCTCCCGGAGTACCAGGGAAGGCATAACACGCTGCAAGCTTAGGAGCTGACAATCGCCGCGAAGCCCCGTAGCTGTATCGGCTGGATTTTGTGACCCACCTGCATCCAAGTGCTGGCTGGCACGCTTGCCATCCGGGTTCAACGCTGGCAAAGCCACTGAAGGCGTCCCAATGACTGCAACTACGAATGCTCACTGCAAGTTGGAGAGCAGGTAGCAAAGACAAGGCAAAACGAAATCTGGCCTGTCTGGCAACCAGCAGCCGGCGGGCTCTGCAAGCACTCGCGGTGCGGGCGCCTGCGAAGAGAGTCACAATGTTGAAGCCAAGCAAGTAAAAGAGAGGTAGCGCTTTTCCACTCTCCTACATATCTATTTCGCATGTACCAATGCGTCATCGGTTTAAATACAGCTTGTAAAAGAACAAAGAATAACAATAAACATAAACATTGCCCACATATGCACTTGCAGTTGTATACATTGCTGCATGCACTTACATATAATTCCCTTCCCGGCCCACTTCAGAATACACAATGCCTGCAAGTCGACACAGCTGCCATGACGCCATGACCAAAACCCTTAAGCTTCTGCAATCCCAAACGAAACTGCAAAAACTGCTTCCCTTGCTCACCAAGGTGAAACAAGCGCAAAAAGAGACAGTTTGGCCAACCTTCTTCACAACTAGAACTGAGTTGCATCTTAACACACAGTCTGATGGCGCATATGTTCTTGAAGGGTTCGAGTGTGGATGAAGCCGCTCTAAGCTTGCCCTGCTGTAGCCAAAACTCGCTGGGCTGGACAGCTGGCAAAGAACGATGCCAATGGCCGAGTCTGTGCCGGTCAGAAGTCGTCCATCTCATGCTGGCCTGATTCGCCAAGTTCCAAGTCTTATTGTGCTTTAGGTCCTGAACACACGGCATCTAAGGCTGAGAAGAACCAACAAGTTACTAGTAACAAAAAGCTACTAGGTGGAGGCCATCGCTATTAGGTTGGAGGCCACTCCTATTAAGTCTTTAAATCTGTCTCAATCCTCAGCTTGTTGAGTCTCGTGGGCAGCGAGCAGGACGTCAAGCCTCATGAGCCGCGCTTCCTCTAAATTCTGTCTGGTCAAAATCTGTTTATTTGGAGCCTAACCACTGGTAGGCAGGAACATCACTGACAAGCTGACTCCAACCCAGCGTTTGTGTTTTTTACAAGTCATCGTAATCTTACCTTCACCCAACTGGCCAGCAACGCCTCAACAAAATACTTGTCTCACTGGCGTCTAGATGAGCTATCGGCTGTGACTGCACCTTCTGATTGGTGACTCGGAACTCGCTATCCAGTTCTCTCATTCGATCCTCCAGGATGGATGCCTCAAACTCAAAAGAGAAAAGACATCGGGGGGGAGGAAAATAGAAAAAAAACTGTTCTCAGAACCAAAAACATCCAAAACGTTTAACACATCAGACTCTGGCCAATGTGTCAATGTCATTGATCTTGTTCTGGCAGTTGTGCACACATGAACAGGCATGAAACAAATACCTTTCAAGCAGTTTCCAATTGCCTGCAGACTGTTTCTTCTGCTTGACATGTTCGCATCTGCTGAACCCACCAACCTTAGTGTTTTCACAAACCTCAACTTCAACCTTTACACGTGCATGATCCAGATTCAGACTGTTCCATTTGCTGCAGTCTGTTCTTTATCTCGTCATTGCTCGCAACGAGCTCCTTAGCCAAATGGTGTTCGCTGTTTTCTGCACATCTCCAATCCAAAATATCTCACCTTGACCTGCGAGTCATCCACAGCCTTGGGAGAAAGAACTTTGATAAAATTGTCCACATGTCGCAATGCTCTAGTCTCCAGGGCGGCCACGGGCGGTTTTGGTGGTGGAGGCATGTACAAGCCAAGCATGTCACTGAGCCTAAGCCACTACAAAATGAGTGAATCGTTTCACACTGAGTGTCTTCCACGATCCACATCCGAACCACATTGAAATTGAAGGGTATCCAGCCTTCGCTTGGGCCTCGACAACTCAAAGCACAGAAGCTGGTGATCTGTGCACATCTTGACTGTATGCTGGATAGCTGTTGCACTGTGCATGCAAAGTCCAGACCGTACAAAGCAATTTGGGGAGCCGGCTTGGGAATCTCTGGCGGGTCCTTGGAACGTTTCCGCATCTAATTGCTGCAGGACTAGATCTAATGTTTCAGGAAGAGACATGGAACACTCGCAACTCGACTAAGTCTAAGTGCAACACTTCACCAATCACATCCTGCGATGGTGAAGGCACCGGAGACGCAACATGCTCTTGCACCTCAGCAAGCCAAAAATAACCCAATCCGAATCGACAACTTAAAATGGAGTGTTTCCACCTCCGCTGGTGTTGTCTCTGGATCTCGAGGTGCTTCTGCCAGGAGATCATCAGTTGCACTACCTCCAAGACAAGTGCGGTGCAATAAAACTTCGATGACAAGGCAGAAAACCAATGTCTGTGACACGCGTGACATAAATGTTCAGCAGGATACACCTCAACACTATCCAACAGTGCTTGTCGACATTCCTTTGAGTAGTCAGAAATCCTCAATGCCGGCATTTCTTGAAAAAATATCCAACAAACAATGCATGTAGCTTGCAATCAAGGTAAGTATGCATTACCAGCATCAACATGGAATGTCTTTTTATACGTTTGAAGGAGGTGTGTGGAAATTCAACACTACTTGACAACCAGTATCAAATATGAAAGCATGGAGCCTGACGGTGAAAGTAGTTGTCTTGCTGGAGAAGCATTTCTTGAAGGCTTCGCTCCTGTCCAAACCAAAGTTCAGCCACGCCGTCCGCAAATTTAAGTTTCGTTTTGCAAATGGATATGTAGCCAAAAATTAATCAATCCCATTGTCCAACATGTACCCTGACTTCTCTGCTTTGCAACCTGTTTGCACTCTGCTTACTCTGCACAGCTTAAATCACACCACGCATGTCCTGCAGCCACCAGCTCCTGCTGCTGCACCTTCCAAGACAAAAGGCCAATCATCGGACTCAGACTGACATTGCCGAAGCCTCAAGATCTTCAATGCTCTGAACCTGCAGGTGACGCGTACAAAAGAAAACAGCACTTCCGAACCATCTTCAATAGCAAGCACTGGGACCCACTAAGAGCCCAACACATGCTGCCAGATTTGATTGCAAAGTTGTGATATCATTACCTTGAGGCTGAAGCAGCCAACGTGTTCGCTCTGCTGCGGCTCGTAAGGCTTGCACGCATGTCTGGGACTTGCAGCCGAATGCCCTGCAAACTTCCAAGAGCAAAAAACACATCCCAGCATTCAAAAGACCTGTCCAACCAAGTCCAACCTTCAACTCAGACACATTCTCCTCAACCAACTTCACTCTCCTGCAGTCTCCACAGAGGTTCTCTGGAGCACAAAAAATCAACTCGGCTACCTGGAAAGTCCATCTGTGAACTCTCCCAACTGCGACGAAGTCTGATGTAAAGACATCAGAGCTTCTGACCTGAAGAAAGCTGCGACCAAGTACCCAATTGTCCAACCAAAGCTGCCCTCCGTGCACAGCTGAGCTCCAGTCGAAACAGAATTCTCTGGAGACCATTGCCCCAAAGCGGAGGCAATTCTGGACATGACAAGATCCTGAAAGTTGCTGAGAACTGTGAAGCAGTCCAATGTGAGGCAGCCAACATGAATTGCTGAATTGGAGCAAATGTCTGATTCGTTATCACTCTTTAATCGCCTCTCCACCCCCAAACATGTTTCAGCAAACTACGGTAGTTGCTTAGCCAAAGCTTTGGCCTTGCAGCCACGTGGAAGGACTGAGCTCAAGAACACTTGCAGCGCACCTCCATCTTCTTGTCTTGGGCGGCCAAAGCCACTGCCATTTCAATTTGTAAAAGGTTGGAAGCCTCCTGCCTACCAAGTGTGATGAATTGCAACTGCGTCATGCGAAAGCAGCTATATATATATATATATATCTTCAAGGTGCCTGACTCGCTCCATCATGTCCGGTCCAAGAACAAAATGGTACATCTCTTCTTGGATATATTGTGCCAAGTCCTGCCGCTGCCACGAGTTCTCACCGCAAACGGTGTTTATCCCCACTCCAGTCTCTCTCGCAAAGGCACTTTCAGATCCTCCAATCGATGCTCAACATCCTGCACATGGTAAATAAAACATCGAAACAAACTGCACAGTGACACCAAACTGCAAAGCGCCTCGGCCAACGCCTGTTGAAGGCGTTCCTCCAAACGCTGGGCCAATCGCTCCTGGAGACGTCTGAAGGAACATGTGAAGAGGCTGTTCTAGTAACTCCGGAATGCATATGTACTTGCTCTAGACTCTAGACTGTGGCAGACTATGAGCTGTGCAGTTGTTCCTCTGTGATAATGTTCCCTGCAAAGCTTGGATCAACTTGGAGAGGCAAGCTGCGAGTCGAGGGTCTGCGGCCACCTCCGCAAGCGCTGAAGAAAACTTCCAACAGGCAAGGGTGGGTCGGAAAAACTCGATGATGCCTTTTCTGTCCGAAGTGAAGCCACAATTTCGCCAATTCAGCTGAATACTGTTCGTTCAAAATAGTAGGTTCCTGCCTTCCAAGAATGAGAACCGGCGAACCTCAACATGCAGCATTCTTCTGCTGCAACCCACAGTCAAAACTCTTCTACTTCAAATGTTCAGCATTGTTAAGCACCGATTGAGGCGAAGGCCGGCGGATCTGAGCCAATACTTGCACTTCTTCGCGCATCACCATCAGCTGGGTTGGTATTGGGCGGATCTGGATCCACTTCCATCTCAGAGAGTTGCCGGGAAGAAGCGCTTCTTCCATGTTCTGCTTGATCTTCTTTTTGCTCTTCCGGCAGGCTAGCTGCAGGATCCACAGGCATCAGCACATCCAGGTCATCAACGTCATCCTTCTTTTCAGAGTGTTGACGTTCCAGATCAGTTTCAACATTTTCCTCAATGTGGGTCTTGTCGGTGTCCATCAGGTCTTGGTAGGTGGGGCTACTGGCTCCCTGTGAACAAATGAAGGATGATGAGATGGTGCTCGCGTAGAAAGACTGCCAGTTTTACATGTTATGATAACACAACTGTCATCCGTGTGTCGTGGCTTTGCAAAATGCGCCGCCTGAGATCCGCTGAAGCCATCAGCCCTTGGTCTTTCACTTGAACACCAAAGGTACAAGACGTTGGAAGAAACTTAGGCAAAGGCGAATGGAAGCTCTCTCGACTCAGACCTCGATTTCCTAGGCCCGCTTGCCTTAGGAGTCAACACAGGAATTGGAGAAGCGGCGAAGCGGAGTCGACAGAGGCTTAAACCACTTCCTCGAGTTCGTTGCTCTGAATGCCTTTCGATCCTGTCAGCCCAGAAAACGAATGCTAGTAGCCCATCGCAAGTAGGTTGGCGGCCGTCGCTAGTAGGTTGGAGGCCGTGGCTAGTAGGTTGGAGGCCATCGCTAGCAGGGTGGAGGCCATCGCTTCTAGGCTGGAGGCCATCAGCCCTTCGCATGTCCTCACTCAGCAACTTCGTCACAGAGAGCTGATCAGCTAGCTGTCTTGACCTTGTTGCAAACACATGTCGGC